TATATAATTGTCCATTAATTAAAATAAAATATCGAGATTTTCATTTTATCGTTTGTTGTTGTTCTTTGGTGAGATATATTGGCATATTAAAATCCATTAAATATTGTATGAGTGAGAAGTATGTTCCTGAATCCATTATATCAATTTAAAATTATCCGTTAGTATTATCCAAAAATAAGTTAAATCCAATTATGTTGTTTTAAATTTATTATATGCTAGTGTTCTATTCGACTTAATGGATCTATGTTTGTGTGTTGTTTGCCGGGTCGATTTATAATATCAAAGTCAAAGGAGTTTAAAGTCATAATCCATCGTCCAAGTTTGCCAACAGGGTTTGCATTATTTTTCAAATACACCAAAGCGGAGTGATCAGTAACAACAACGAATTTCTGTCCATATAGATAGTGGTTAAAATATCAAATCGCCTAAACGATAGTGAGACATTCAAGTTCCGTAATCGTATAGTTTCTTTTATGCTTGTTAAGAATCCGACTAGCATATGCTATTACATGCTCTTTTGAATCTTTTCCTTTTTGCACTAGAATTGCTCCTAAAGCGAATGTAGAAGCATCCGTATATAATATGAAAGCTTTATCGAAATCCAGATATGCCAAAATAGGTGGGGTCGTTAGATACTTCTTGAGTTTTTCAAAAGCATCATGTTGAGCCTTAGTTTATTAATAGGATACATTTTTCTTTAGCAGCCAGTGCAATGGTTAAACAATAGCGGAAAATCCTTTAACGAATTTCCGATAATATGAAGCCAAAGCTATGAATCCTCTAAGTTGGGTTAAATCTTTAGATATCAGAAATTCGCTTATTACTCTTAGCTTTTCGGGATCTGTTTGAATACCTTGTCCACTTATCACATGACAAAGAAATGGTAATTTCACCTTAAAGAAGAAACACTTTTCGGAACTCAATTTTAAACCGGCGTTTCTTAACCTCAAGAAGACTTGATCAAGATGTAAAAGGTGTTTGTCGAAAGTCTTGGAGCCAATGTTGATATCATCCACATACATAACTACATATTGCCACAAAATATCCCTTAAGACAGTATCCATTAATCGTTGAAAAGTAGCGGGAGCATTGCATAAGCCAAACGACATCACAGTAAACTCGTATGTTCCAAATCTCATTATGAAGGTAGTCTTTTCTCGTCCTTTTCATCCAACTCGACTTGCCAGAAACCACTAGCAAGATCCAAAGAGGAAAACCAAGTTGAGCCAGACAATGTTTCCAACATGTCATCTATTCTTGGTAGTGGATAACAATCTTTCTTTGTTACTGTGTTTAATTTGCGATAATCAACACATAATCACTTCTTTCCATTTTTCTTTTCTATAACGACAACGGGAGATGTCCACTGGCTACTGGAAGGTCTAATCAAACCATTTTCCTGTAATCGCTGTATTTCTTCCTGAATAAATTTCTGGTTTTGGAAAGAGGTTCGATAGAATCTCTGCTTGATTGGCGCAGCAGTTCCCATGTCGATCGAATGCTTAACCACCGATGTTCGTCCAAATTCGTTAGAATCCCAAACAAAGAGATCTCTATTTTTCTTCATGAATTCCTCAAATTTCTCATTTTGTTCCTTAGTTAGGTCTCCAACATGGAAACATCCATTATCAATTTCTTTATACTGGTAATAAGACTCCTTAGTAATATCGTTTTTCAAAGTCACTTGTTTAACGAGTTCATTTTCGATCTGTTCGGCCTCTTGTGTCGTTATATACTGGTTGAAATAATACAGCTGCTCTTGCAAATCAGCCTCTTCTTCATATTCCTCATCACTACTTTCAATTATGTGTTCTGCTTCTTCGGTATCATCATCAGCAGCGTTTATCTCATCTTCGATGATTCGATCATGTGGCATTTGATGACATTCTACCCTGACAACAATATCCTCATTGTTCCAATATAATGTCAAAAGGCTTTTGCGATAATTTATGATGGCTTGTGCTTCTTTTAGCCAGTCGTTTCCAACAATGGCGGCATAAGAATCTGCTTCCGTGACAACTGCATCAAAAGGGATCACGTGTCTAGAGATCTTCAAAGGAACACCTGTGACAGCACCTAAGGGTCTTCTTTTTTCACTGTTTACATTAACCATTATTGTTTTAGATGCTTCTGTTATCTCTATATCCAGGTCTTTAAGTAACTTTAGGGAAATTATATATCCAGCAGAACCGGAGTCAATTATCAACAGAATTTTCATATTTTTGATGTATGCGTCGCAATACAACGCCGTGGCTCTCTTTTCTGATTTACTCGCATAGTTTAATTCAATATCCTCATTTTTTTCTTCCACAATAATTGGGTCTTTCGGCTTCTTTGCTATTGGCTTTCGTATTGCTTTTAATATAGCCTGTCCGAACTTAGGATTCATGGCTATTAACTGTCCATTGGTGATGCTGGCGGGTTGATCGAAAAATTGTTGAGGCGTATATGGATTAACCATATTATTTATGGGCGGAATTAAAGGGTTTTTTCTTTTTACTGTTTTGGATTTTGTTTTAATCAGCATATTCTTATTATCCTTTCGTTGATTTGTTAACTGTTGTATTAATTCAACATCATCCTCTTTCTTCTCTATATCAATCTTGTTTTGGTCATAGGGAGTTTCTTGAGCAGCTCTGGCTCGTGTTCTGGTTGCTGGATAAGCTTCAAACAATTATAAGTTCGAGAGAACAACTAATGGTTCTGTACCATCACCCTCATGAGGTACACCATTTAGTTTAAATGTTGATCTTGCATATTATCTTGTATTAATTGTGACAACAATTATAGCAACTGCGGATTTTTAAGATTGTTATCTCCTGCTACCGGAGCAACGTTAACGTTTGATTGTGTTGGGTGGGTAGGACTTGGTACGTTACTTCCTGTGGTTTGATTATGTTGATA